GCTGCTGAGCACTCTGCTGAACCAACAGTCTCTGGACCCAACCGGTTCCCTCTCTCAAAGGAGAAAGCCTGAACCTCTTCAAGCTATTTCCAGAAACATCTGAAACTCAACAATTCACCTGTTAAACTGGCTAATCAAACTATCCGTCTCTGCAGATGCCAGAGAATCCTGCCCGGACCAGTTTCCAGAATCCGGTCCATGTTATTATTGTGAAAGCTTTCAATAAACTCTGTTGAACTTTTTATCAATCTCCAGTGGTGTTCTGCATGTGGGTTTAATCCCTAAACCAACCATTACAGTTATATGATTTTTTTTTATCTAAGGAGGAAGAATATAGATGATGTAAACTGTACTTCACCTAAGTATTCATGCCAGCTATACTATCTCCCATGGTAAAGATTACAGACGCATACCTTAAGTGTAATAGGTCATGGAGAACACTGTAGTGGGGGTAGTGTAGGTACAGTGGTTAGAGCAGTGCGTTTTTGCTCCGAGTTGCAAGTACCCAGTTCAATCCTCACAGCCTGCACTCTGGTTTCCTGAGCAAGACCCTTAACCCCCCACTGCTCCCCAAAGCAATGGGTTAAATGCAGAGATACATTTTTCCAGTGTGAGATCAATAAAGTTAAGTTATTTAGTGAAAATTAAGGCAGAGTTATTTTATGAAAAATGTATATTTGGCTCTGGAAATGTAATAATATACATCAACATCCAATATCTAAAAAAAGACAGAAATATACCACAACTCCAAATCTTCTGAGAAATTACTTTACACAAAAGCTGACAGGCTGGACAGATAGAGAGCATTAATTAAAGAAGAAGCCAAGATGCTCTTGATGATTATGGATTAGTCCTGCAGCTAAGGTCACTTTGTGTATGTTTGTCATGTTTTTGAGTTTAAAGGTCCTTTTGAATTCATGGAAAACCATTGTATTTACTTGATTTGCAATGGCTACTGTACTTTACCCAGTCCTAAAACAAACATGAAAATTTAACGCAGGTGAACTTTACCATCACTCTTCAAACAGTTTTGGGTATAAATTCCCTTCACCTTTTGCAGGAAAAGAAAAAAC